AAGTGAAAAACGAACTTTCAGTCCACTGATGATCAGTGGCTACTGCATTCCATGGACATCTGCAACTATTTTCAAACAAAGACTACAGATGCGTTGTCACCTCTGAGGACTGAGATGCCTCACAGACTGTAACTAAGTCAGTTAGTTTACTAATATAGTCAGTAGCCTGTTACACCCTTCAGATGGGAACACAGCAGAGCACATAAGGTGGTACCTACCCAGACCCAGACGAACTATTAGGTAGAAAAAGGCTCCTACTACCTAGTTATTAACAAACTATCCTATGGAATATTAAGTTTTCTTAAAATTTACCGTTACCGTTAAATGTTAAAGCCTATTAAAGTCTTTGCGATACCCACGGGATGATATGGGGTAGCGGATATTCGGGATAGCGGCAATTCTTACACCGCCACTACACGCTTTCTTCAAATTTATTTCTATACTAGCTGTTCCCCGCTACTTCGTTCGCGTGTTAGGGTTTTTATGTTTTTGCGCCGAACCCTAATTCTTTTTCTAAAATAAAAGTAGCCTAAGTTACTCCTTATGAAATCAGCTACCTGCCAGTGAAAGTCCCGTCAAAATCGGTCCAGCCGTTTCGGAGATTACCCGGAACAAACAGACAGACAGACAGACAGACAAAAATTTTAAAAATTTTATTTTAGTTATAGGTACCGTATTTACTTTCATATGCATTTAGTAAAAAAACTGTAATTTTGACATTACAAACAGACACTTCAATTTTATTTATTTGTATAGATTTTTATTTTTGTAATGTGTATTTATGGTTTTAGTAAAGTATTATTATAGTATATATTGGCCAACCCTTTTGTAAGATATTACGTTAAGCTATGTGCTTGTCTTTATATATAAAAATTACGTGTCACGTTGTTTGTCTTCGAATAACTCCTAAACTACTGAACTGATTTCCATAAAATTTTGCACACGGTGTGCAGTTTGGTCCAATTTGAGAGATAGGATAGTTTTTATCCCGATAAGGGACCCTCAATTTTTTTATTGCTAATCTCAGGAGTTTTTTTAGGAAAGCAAATGGTCGGCAAAGGGCAGAACAACGTCTGCCTGGTCAGCTAGTATGGTATATATTATAGGCATTCACTTGAATACCGGCCTTTTACACGACCAATTAATTAGCTGTTTAACAAACAATACTCGATAGTGTTAATGAGGCTCAATTGTAGATCGATTCATATATAGGCGGGCTGGCAACCACACAGTCTTTATCATTTTGAGTTTTTATCAGAAAGATGCTGCTGCAGATCTTTTTTTTATTTCCCTCAGTCGCATCTTACGGCACCCACGGAATGATTGTGGAATGACCACTAATGTGGTAAAGGCTTTTTTATAGACAAAGGGGCATGCGGTTCACCTGATGGCAAGACATGACACGGGAGGGTTTTGGCGGGAACTTGACCGGCGGCGGTTTGCTGCTCCTGTTTTATTGTTTAATAATGGATTGAAGTGGACTTTGATATGTAAAAGTGATGCGATTTTGTGTATTAAGTGTCTGCGCATGTAAACTATTAGTGGAAACTGTGAAACAAATGCTCTGATAGTGATGTGATTCTCAAAATAAGGTTCCTGTCTGCTTAGGCGCCTTGAGATACCATCGCTAACCGTCAGCTGTCTGCTGGCTCAAGTTGCCGTCAAAATCTCCCAAGGGCTGCACAATGTGACGCATCAACATATTGTGAAGCAGTATACTATGAAGAATAATTATTATAATATAAAATTGTAACTTCAGGATCAGAAGGGCTAGATCACAGAGCCGTAAAGCCAGTTATTAAGAAGAAGAGAAGACATGACACGGAGAAGACACGTTGTCGACCTTTTAATAGAGAGTAAACTCTTTTCTTAAAGGTCCCTAGTTCGTATCGGATTCTCTTACGCCATCGCTACAATGTGATCCAAAGATTATTCGCAAACAAAACCGCGTGAATAGCTTGTTAACTTAAAGCAATTACCGCAATTTATATAGTCTACGAGTTTGTACTTAAAAATTGTGAATACCTGTCATAGGTAGAATGTTCATGGAGCAAAGTTAGAAACGAACTTTGCTCGTTCAGTGAGAACTTTCAAAGTAAAATTTACAGCCAATAAGGTAGAGGGTTTTATTCCGTTCTTTTGGAATCGATGGAATACCTAATAGGATAATTTGACTGCCTCTTTTGCCTAGTGGTCGTCAACGCACCTGAAGACCTTGAGATCCAGGGTCATGGGTTTTTGTGAAAATAAATTTTCAGTAGCAGCTTAGAGTTAGGAAGTTAGCGGTGTTACACTCCCATGCCTAAAATAAGGTACCTCTATATACATCGCATCCCACCAAGAATTTCTAATGTAAGCTAAAATGTGATAATGATGAAAACATTTGTAAATACTTGCCCTGCAACATGTAACTGTAATAGAATAGAACAAGATAGTTTTCGGCATGAAACCAAAAATAAATGTTTTCGATATGAAAGCAAAATTAAATATTTTCGATTATTTTTGCAATACCTTAACAGCCGAGTCAGCGCGCGATTCAGATCCGTCTAGAGACGCTAAATTTCAGCAAGCAGTGTCAAATTTAATAGGAATGACAGAAAAAACGCTAAACGCTACGCTCTCCGGTTGTGTTGAATTACCGTCCCATCGGACTATAAGAGTAAGGGCACAGAGATTGCACTTATGCTTAAGCATTCGCATACACATGTTACATACTAAAATCCTATCCTGTGCAGATGGATAGTCTTAGTTGAGCATGACCACTGTGACGATTGAGAGGGGATTATTATAATAATATGATCATTTTTTTATAGGAGAGGGGGCAAACGAGCATGCGTCTCACCTGTATGATACGTGACTACCGCCGCCCATGAATAATAATAATAATAATAATAATAAAAGGCGTAGGGAAGTGACGACCCCATCGCCCGCTGACGTAACAGTTAAGTGACAAAACTGCTATGTCAGCGCAGTCAGTCAGTGCCTTGCCAAGAGGTGTGAGCGCCGTGCCTCGGCAGTATTGAGGGTGCAAAGGCCCGTTTGTGCTTACGGCCACACTATTAAACGGCGCCGGGTCTGGGCGTCTCCCGTTAATTGACGCCCAATTCAATGGATGATGGAAAATTATAGAACGCGCATAGGGCCGCTGCCTGGGGGTCGCCGGGGCGCGTCTGGAGCTGGCGCTGGACGTGACAGCATGCGAGCCGCCAGCCGACCGCGAGGTGCTGCACGACCACCTAGCAGCCCCTCGCGTCCATCATCCCCACCAGACGGCTTGGTGTCGGCGGGGTCATCTCGGACTCGGCAAGCGGCACCCGCCGCTGGTGGAGTACGCCGCATGCGTTGGACAAAACATATGAACATAAACGCATTGCGGGCGTACTATAGGGCGAAAGGGGAAGAAACTGGAGGGATAGCGTATCGGACTCGGATGCATCGCTTTTTTGCTGAGCTTGAGCCGTCAGTTCCCGTCACGGAGCAAAACCTGGCAGACCGAGTTCGGTACATCATACGCTCGAAAATATTTGATGATGCCGAACTCGAACGACTACGACGTGAGGCTATTCCCTCATCGAATGAACCGGCTAGAGCTGGGGATCCGGCTCTTCAGGCCACAGACCAGCAGCCACATATAGAGGGCGCCATGGATCTCCCTGCCCTGGTTGATTCAGGCGATGATGGAATAGTCACCCAAGAACTAGAGCAGATGAGGAGTAAATTGGAGGAGGCGATTGTGGAAACGCGCAGTACGAGAATTCATCTATGCACTTGTGGATTCGCAGTTTGGTAATTTGCAACAGCTTGCCTGTGTACATCGGGATTTTTTTCTGATAAGCGAACACAGCTTTACGATTTGTATCTGGCTTGTTCTCTCTATATCTTTCTTGTGCACTTTTTAATTGACTTTTTCTTGTGTAATTAGTAAATCTCGACCTTCGTTTATTTTCTTTTTTTCATATTTTAACGTCGACGATACAGTTTGATCTGTTCCGCTGGTTGGAGATGATATTTCACTGTTTACAAAAGATCTAACAGTTAAATGGTCAAGCTCTGAAAACGGGATCACGCCTTCTACGGGTACCTCCATGCGACGCTGTGTAATTTTCTTCGCAACAATAGGCAGACAGACGTAAAATGTCCATGAGATAAATCATGGCTAGATCGTAATCTGGACAGATATCTGTTCCGGACTCGGACAGTTTCGATATACTTCAAACCGAAACGGAAATATTAATCCTGCAGCTACCAATTCACAAATTTCACCGTAACTTTATTTTTTTTTAAATATCGGCTGAATATTCATTTGCTGTTGAATAATTATCGCCATCTCTCTCGAAAATCGACCGCGACTCCCGCGCATACCCCTAAGCAAGCGGAATCGGGCTGTCGTGAGGGCTCTCAACCCAATGCTGGTCACCTATTTGGAAGCCAGCCGGGACCTTTGCGAGACGGACTCAATTCTTTTTGGCGCCGCACTGGCAGTTTGTCGTATTGTTGGCGCCAAACTTCCCACGGCTGGACGCGCTACTAGACAAAGTAGCGCCATCCCAGCCTGGAGAAGAAGGATTGAGGACCGTATCGTAAAGGCAAGGGCCCTCATCGGCAGGCTGATAAGCTTCAGGTCGGGCAATAATAGGCCGCGAATTGTGCGCACCGTCAGAATGGCGTTTGCTGGGACAAATATCAGTTTGTCCCAGCCGGATATAACGCAAAAACTGACGGAGCGCATAGACGACCTGAAGCAGAGAATCGCTGCTTGGGGGAAGCGGATTCGGCGTTATACCGAGAGGTCGACACGGTTCAACCAGAATCGTCTCTTCCAGAGTGATCAGAAGAGGCTATATAAATCATTGGAGCGACCAATGGTACGTGGAACGGGCCAAGCACCGAATCAGGCCGACACTGTCGCATTCTGGCGCGGCCTGTGGTCAGAGCCCGTAAACCACCGCGAGGGCCCTTGGACGGAAGCTGTGGTGAGTCAGTGTGCGAATCTTACGCCCATGGACCCCGTCATTATAACGCCGGACGATGTAGCTGAGGCGGTCCGAAGGGCCCCGAACTGGAAAAGTCCGGGGCTCGACGGGCTGCATCACTACTGGCTGAAGGGGTTCGTGGTGTGTCACGCTTTGCTCGCCCGACAATTTCAAGAGGCTCTCGACCAAAAGTCGCTCCCGAGCCTCTTCACTACTGGGATCACTCATTTGGTTCCTAAAGACCGGGATACCATAGACCCGAGCAAATACCGCCCCATCACGTGTCTACCCACGATATATAAGACACTAACATCCATTTTGAGCGCGAGAATCACTCGTCACCTGAACTCAAATCAGGTGATGTCGCGCGCTCAAAATGGATGTCGGGGCGGTGGTCGTGGAACCAAGGAACCACTCCTCATTGACGCGGTCATTGGCAAAGTGGTTAAACGCAACCGTCGGAACCTATCCGCCGCCTGGATAGACTACAAAAAGGCATTCGACTCGGTGCCTCATACATGGCTGGAGAGGGTCCTCGAGCTGTACAAGGTTGACTGTACAGTTAGAGACTTCCTTGGGCAGTGTATGGGGCAGTGGAGTACGATCCTTTGTCATCTAGGCGAGCGGATGACGGCTGCGGAGAACCACATAAGGATAAGAAGGGGTATCTTCCAGGGCGATTGTCTGAGTCCAATCTGGTTCTGCCTCTCTCAGAACCCTCTCAGTACCTTACTGGAGGGCTCCGGGAGGGGATTTCAGCTTCGGAGGGGAGGTACAAAAGTGACCCACCTTTTCTATATGGATGATCTCAAGTTATTCGCCTCCAGTCGCTCTCATCTTATGGAATTGCTAAACATCACTTGTAATTTTAGCAATTCTATTAGAATGGAGCTGGGGACGGATAAGTGTGCGGTCCTCCATGTTGAAAGGGGAAGGGTTGCTAACTCTGAGGGCATAGATTTATCTATGCCCATCAACATAACGACCCTTTCCGAGGCTGAAACATACCGATACCTGGGTATGTCACAGAACATCGGTGTAGATGAGGCGGGTATGAAACAGTCAGTTTGCGATGTGTTTTATGCACGCTTGACCAAAGTGCTTAACAGCCTTTTGTCCGGTGTGAATAAGACGCACGCATATAACGGTTGGGTCATGCCTGTTCTCATGTATACCTTTGGCATACTTAGGTGGACTCAGACCGAACTAAACGCTCTGGACAGAAAAGTCCGCACTATAATGACGTCCCACAGGGTGCATCATCCGAGATCGTCAGTAATGAGGCTGTACTTGCCGCGGAAGCATGGCGGGCGCGGCTTTTTAAGCGCGCTTACCATGCATAATCGCGAAGTGTGCAGCCTCCGTAATTACTTTCTGACGAGAGCGGATGATCCATACTATAGGGACGTTATTTCTTGTGATAAAGGACTGACCCCTCTATCCTTAGCCAACGAGCAATGGCAAGACCCAGCAGTACAGTGCATTTCCGACCGGGAGACCGTATGGAAGGAGAAGGAGCTCCACGGGAGGTTCTACAAGGCTCTACATGAGCCTTTCGTAGACACAGTCGCCTCCCTTCACTGGCTACGTTTCGGTGACCTCTTTGGGGAAACCGAGGGTTTTGTCTGTGCGATACAGGATCAGGTTATTAAGACCAACAATTATCGGAGATACATCCTAAAGGATGGCGCCGTCGACATCTGTCGAGCTTGTCGCCATCCCGGTGAGTCACTTAGGCATGTCATCTCCGGTTGTTCGGCGCTTTCTAACTCTGAGTATTTGCACAGATACAATCTAGTAGCCAGGATTCTACACCAGGAGCTCGCTCTGAAATACGGCCTCGTGGATCGGAAACTGCCGTATTATAAGTACTTGCCGGAAGCCGTGCTCGAAAATGACCGCGCCAGGCTCTACTGGGACCGGGCCATCATCACAGACAGGACTATTCTTGCGAATAAGCCTGATATTGTGCTGATGGACCGGGCACAGTCAAGGATCTTTTTGGTCGACATTACCATTCCTTATGACGAGAACCTCGTGAAAGCCGAAACAGATAAGGTGACAAAATATCTGGACCTGGCTCACGAGGTTACCGGCATGTGGGGTGGTCTGCCGACCGAAATTATTCCTGTGGTCGTTTCTGCGAATGGGTTAATCCCAGTCAGCCTCCCGGGTCATCTGAGGCGACTGGGACTCCGTGACGGACCGCTCCAGGCTCAGATGCAGAAGGCGGTGCTCCTCGATACCGCCCGCATCGTCCGCCGGTTTCTTTCCCTTTCCCCCTAACCCTCGGCCGTCTGGTCTCCCCTGCCGAGGGCTTCCATCTGGTTGGGTTTTTATATATTTATGTATTTTTTATGTATTTATTTTATTTTATTCATATTTATGTATGTTTACCATTTTCATTTACAATTATATATTTATACTGCCCAACCAGATGAGAAAACTTTATAAATACCCCAAAAATAATAATATTCCACAACTATCACACAACGCCATCTAGTCCCAAGCTAAGCAGAGCTTGTGTTATGGGTACTAGACAACTGATAAACATACTTATATATTTCTAAATACATAAATATTATAGATAAATTACACCCGAATAACTGTAACACCAGGGGAATCGCAGATGCGTTACCGGCCTTTTAAAAAAGAGTAGACTCTTTTCTTGATGGTTCCTAAGTTGTATCGGTCCGGAATAATCGCTGGTGGTACTCGATTCCACAAGGAAGTTGTACAAGGAAGAAAAATTATTCTAAAGCTCTCAGTGATGGACCGCCAATCATCCAGATGGTATGGATTTCTCACAAACCTTGACATTAAGTAATTGTGGTTATATTTTGATAACAGAGAAAAATACTAACCTACACTACATACTTACATTACATCACTTACTTACATCATCACTATCACACAAACTCTCACAAGTCTACTGAACATAGACCTCCCCCAGGGATTGCCATAAACATGGTCCTGAACCACCTGCATCCATTCCATTTTCCCCCACCAGGCCGGCGCTACTCATTGCAAATGAGGTGAAATATTTGACAGATTTCATAGTGGGGAAGATAATTTCTTAGGAAAAAGTAGGTATGGTTAATGTTTCTTTCAGTACAAATTATTATATTTTATGTTAATTAGATTAATTAGATTAATAATGAATAAAACAAACTATAGATATAACAACGAGAAGAAAAATTAAAATAATTAAAGATCAAACCATTGTGGCATTGCTTTGTTTATTAATGTAATACGCTAGGACCTGATGAACTATTTTTTTTTATAGGATAGGGTGACAAACGAGCACACAGTCTACCTGATGGTAAGTGGTTGCTGTGGCCTATAGACATCTACATTTATGCTCGTTTGCGAATCAAAATGCAGATGCGTTGTCACCCGTGAGGACTAAAATGGAAAGCCTCTTTTCCAGTAAAAAGGGTCTCCGCTTATCTACACTCACCATACGAAACACAGAAGTGTTAAGGTTCTATTTTACGCTGGTATTCTGTGAGAGCGTGGTCCTTCCCCGGTCGAGCCGACCCATTCGTGCTACAACTTAAAACAACTGACATTGTGTAACAAAAAGCTTTACCTTAGTCACAACTAACGACATCTGGTGAGAGGAACATCATAAGCTCTCATCGTCTAATCAAGCACGGTAAAAGTTTTCAGTGAAAAGGATCCAGTTGAATTATTTACCGCTGTAGAATTTTGCTTGCCTACATTTCACAGGCGCTGATTCTGATGTCTTGTCATTCATTCATTTTACTGTTAGATTTAAGCTGGTGATAAATTAAATTATGAAATAAAACACAGGGAATCTTAATTTAATAAATCAAATTAAAAAAAATGTAGCAATTTAAACCTTGGTTGTGTAAAATCTTATCAAATCAGTTCTAAATCGGGTATGTATGGTACCAATTAATTCAGGATATTTTTCATTTCATTGATTTGTATTAGAACTTACACTTGTTGTCTTATAATATTTTTTTTTTTTTTACTTTGAAAGTAAAGTAACAGCATACATTGTGCCTTACTGCCATGGCACAGAATACGTAAATAGTACGCCACGGTCGGTTGTATTAGGCACAATATAATAATTAGTAAGAATAAGTGCAGCGTGTATGTTATGGCCAAAAGCCGAAGTGTAGTTACACATACCCGTAGGTGCAGCTAATAACGGTTAGTTAAACTTAGCTTAAGATTAGCATTTGAAATTTATTAAATTAAAAATAAATTTGAGCATTAAATTTATTGTTATAAAATCCCACATTATGATAATTTATGGTAACATTTGGTTGCAACTACGATATTCACAATTTAAACATGTGGTCCAAAACATTGATAATGATTTGTTGCAAGTGCACAATACGGTAATCATCCCGCCAGATGGGTTGAATGTGAGAACGAATTCAAGGGTTCAAAAAAATAAGGGTGACGTTTTAAGTTGTACACATAAGAAATTGATGCATAACGTATGAATTATATTATAAATGAACCATATAATGTTGCACCTACATATTTCTGTAATTTTTAACAATTTTTTAATAGGATAAACCACTTTTCCGTACCATTCAACGGCACGCGTTCCGTCAAAAATAATCTATCTTATATAAAGGTTAGTAGTTAAAACTAATTTTACGGATTTTATCGCGTATATTAATATATTTTTATATTCCCGACGTTTCGGGTGCTTTCCAGCACCCGTGGTCACGGGGGACTGAGGTGTTTGACGTCCTGCTGTCATAGTTAGCCCGGCTACCTTCAGTTTTTTAATATTAATTTTTGGTCCGATTTACGCAGAATGAGCTTACGGTATCTTGAAGTCTAGCAGTGGTATACTTGGGTTTGGATTTGATTTTATTAATTATGGGATCCCAAGCAGATGGCAGCACCCATCCATCTTCTCTATTGAAATTAGGATGTTTTTTAATTTCAATAGCCTCGCGAATCATCCTTGGGAGGAATCGGTGTTCTTTTGCGAGGATTTGTGGTCTATCAAATCTAATGTAATGGCGGGGACGATCTTGAACATGTTCACAAACTGCAGACTTCCCGATACGTCGGTGCTTCACGACAGCTATATGTTCTTTAACGCGGGTTTTAATAGATCTTTTTGTTTGTCCTATGTACGAGAGACCACATTCACAATCCAGCTTGTACACTCCTGCATCTTGTAGAGGGATATGACACTTGACGGATGGTAAATATTGACCAATCTTCTTCAGCGGCTTGAAGTATGTTTTAATGGAAGCTCGCTTCAAGATGTAGCCAACCTTGTCTGTGACTCCTCTGACATAGGGTAGTACAGCAGGCACACGCTTGACTGTGGCTGGCTTCACTCGGTCACTGTGACGTAGGCGCGGGACCCGAAGCTTGTTGTCTTGCAGTACTTGCTCGACGTGCTGAAGCTCGGCGGCCAGATGTTTTCTGTCATAGATCCCTCGTGCTCTCTGAAACAAAGATTTTCCCACGGTAGCTAACTGTGAAGGATGATGGTGAGATTCACCATTTAGATATCGGTTGGTATGGGTATTTTTTCTGTACACAGTATGACCAATAGTGTTATCAGGATTTCGGATGACTAAAACATCTAGGAAAGCTAAAGTATTGTTTGCCTCTAACTCCATTGTGAATTGTATTTTAGGGTTTATGGAACTAAGGTGGTTTAAAAATGCAGTTACTTTGTCAGATGGTAAAATTGTGAAAGTGTCGTCTACGTACCGCTTGTAGAATCTTGGATTTACAGGAGCAGTAAGAAGGGCTTTCTCCTCAAAGTCCTCCATGAATATGTCGGCGACTACGGGAGATACAGGTGAGCCTATTGCCACTCCGTCTACGTGCATGTAGAACTCTTCTTTCCACAATAAATAAAGATCGTCCCCGCCATTACATTAGATTTGATAGACCACAAATCCTCGCAAAAGAACACCGATTCCTCCCAAGGATGATTCGCGAGGCTATTGAAATTAAAAAACATCCTAATTTCAATAGAGAAGATGGATGGGTGCTGCCATCTGCTTGGGATCCCATAATTAATAAAATCAAATCCAAACCCAAGTACCACTGCTAGACTTCAAGATACTGTAAGCTCATTCTGCGTAAATCGAACCAAAAATTAATATTAAAAAACTGAAGGTAGCCGGGCTAACTATGACAGCAGGACGTCAAACACCTCAGTCCCCCGTGACCACGGGTGCTGGAAAGCACCCGAAACGTCGGGAATATAAAAATAGATTAATATACGCGATAAAATCCGTAAAATTAGTTTTAATTAAAAATGTGTAGTGTTCGCGTAAATATAAGAAATCATTAAAGGTTAGTAGGTTTATATATATATATAGGTTATTATTAGGCCATTAC